AGCACTCGGGTGGAGGTGTACTGTGACAGAGATATGGAAAGCAAAAGTGGAGGACTAGAAAGAAATGGTTACACAGGAAGAGGGTTGCAAAGAGAAAAGTGAGAATAGATTAAGAAGCTGTTTGGGAGCAAAGACCAGTATTAACAGTAAAGAGAAAAGAAACAGTAAAAGGGAGGTAACTTGAACAGGGAATCAAAAGTCAAATTAGGGGACAGGCCGATTGTGATAATCCCAGGGCTGGAAAATCACTCAGTGTCACAAGGCAGAGAAAGGTTTCTATTTTGTATGAGCAAGAACTCCTGGGGATTGGAGGGAAAGTTTCTTTCCTTCCATTGCAGCATCCCAAATTGGAACACCCCATGCTGCTCTTAGGTGGTTATGTAAAGTCTCAAATTCTGTGGGTGGGAAAAATGACCCATGGGTGTTGAGTGAACCACTTTCTCAGAATAGAAATGCAATGGGATGTTAGATGGGAAATGATCTAAAGATGGGGCGTCCTCAACCAGTCCAGTTACCTGGAGCCTTGGCTACAATCAGATTTGCTTGCAGAAAACCGAAATGGGTTTTGCAGATGTGTGTAGTTGTGGGTTATTGGGAGAAACTGTGACTCTTCATTTTAGAAAACTAGCCGTGTGTGTATTTTTCTCTCAGTCATTTAAGAGACGGTTTTTCCACCTGATTCAACTTGGTGATGGATCCTATAACCTGAATTTTTATAAAGATGAAAAGATCTCCAAGGAACCAAAAGGATCAATATTTCTGGATTCCTGCATGGGTGTGGTTCAGGTAAGTGTGAAAAGAGTTTTATCATCAGGTTTTGTTATCTGTAATGTTTTGTTATGTATAAAGAAGCAGATTTAAGGTAAAACTCCCCAAAATGACAATATTCATGGTAGAAATGTATCTAACTTTAAAGTAAATGAAGACTTCTTTTTCATCATTTTGGAAGATGGTAGGTATACTGTGGTGGGTATGACCATTTCATTGTGTGAATTCGGAGGTTGAGGTAGGAGGATCATGAGTTTGAGGCCAGCCTGGGCTACATAGTGAGACCCTATTTCAAAAAATTAATTTCCTAAAAAAAAAAAAGAAAGAACAAAAAACACCTACCATGGCCACTTTTTAGCTGTGTGTCCTTGGAAAGGCTACCAGCTTAAAGTTTCCTCATCTGCAAAATTTGGGTAATGATAGTATTCCTCTAGAAGGGCAAATGAGAGGGCTGGATGAGTAACTCATGGAAATGCTTAGAACGGTTCTTAGCATCTTGGTGATGACTTTTACCACTTCATCATAGCACCAATTACAGTGTGGCACACCAGTCAACAGATTGCAGTTTTAGTGTAGACTGAGTTTAGATCCCTGCTCTATCACTTAACCTCTGTAATGTGGGAGATGGTATTTAACCTCTCTGTGCCTCAACTTCCTGGTTTGTGAAATAGGTACTGAGAGTACCAAATGTGGTTACTGGGACTTTTACTAATACATGTAATGAGCTTAGGACAGTACTGACAAATAATAATCATTTAGCCTATACTGGATATTTTTCTTAGTGTTGTTGCAGTTATACTTAAAAATTGTCTTTAATTATACATAGTACAAGAATGCATTCTTATTGTAAAAATTCAGACACTGAAGATAAAATGAAAGATCTTCTCCATTTTTCCCATCTCTCCCTTTCCCATACATCTGTTACTAGTTTGGTCTTCATCCTTCCTTACATTTTTGAATTGTGCCTGAAACTCAGTTGCCTGTTTTCACACCAATCTGTCCATCCATCCATCTATCCAGCCAGCCAGCTAGCCATCTATCTAGCCATCCATCCATCCATCTATCCTTTATCTTGCAATTCTCTAGGAATATTTAAGGTAACAGTTTACAAGATGTAAAACACAGGGAAGCATAAATGTAAGTAAAAGTGAAAGCAAAAGAACAAGGTGTTGGGGTAGAGGTGAGATAAAGTAGTGCAGCTATGGGTGGGCCACCAACTAGACTGTACACTTTCTAAACATGGAGACCCGCTCTGCTTCACAATTAAACAATGCACATAAGATACAGACAGTCTAATTAGCATGCAGCTGCCCAAGAAATCCCAGAATAATGATCATTCAGCATTTCTTTTAGGGGCCCTCAGACAGAGGACTTTGTGACTAATGAACAGTCTCCCTGACAACTCCTAACGGTAGATATGGCCACTCTTACCAGTGACTCCTCCCTTAAAATGACTTCATGGTGGCTGAGGACATTGCCTGAAGCTTGATTCTATGAGGAAGTTGTTTAATGAGGCTAGTATGAAGAAGTCAGGGACATAGCTGTCTGGTTGGACCACAGGTAAATATTTAGTTTTGTATTTGCATTTCCCTCCAAGGAATACATCCATCTAATTGAAACAGTGCTGAAGGACAGTGCTAAAAGTGCCTCACTTCCTAAATCACCCCTACTTCATTCACTCCCTGGAAACAATCATTTTCACCTTTTTTCACTGTTTGTTCTGGAGTTTGTCTTCATATAGCTACGTAGAGTGTTCACTGCTCTTTCTTTACTCCTTGGTTTTGGACGTTACTGAATAACTTCCTTGCTGGTAGATAGGATTTTGGCTCCTGTCACCCTCCTTCCGCTCCATTCTAGATGAATTGCTTCTCTGCCTTGCACAGCAGCCATCCTCGAGAGTTCCTTTGCTTTCCTCACTGTGTAGGAGTCCCTGCTTCCTGGTTCCTGAGTCTTTCTCCTTGTTCTGGTTTCTTATTTGGAGGAGACACTCTCTAGTAGCTTCCTGAGAAACTGTATGTGGTGGTAATTTTACCTTGGAACTTCAAGGGCATTGTATTGTCTTCTAGGTGCTGTTGTTGTTGGGGTGTCTGCTGTACTTCTTGTTCCCTGTTCTTCGTGATCTTCTCTTTATCTCTTGTTTTCTCATTGGTTTTGGAATTTAGGTTGTTAGGTCTTGATTTTGATGTTTTTTTTGTTGTTAAGGTAGCACATACAAATAGAAAATATACAGGCAACAGACCTTGGCCTTCCTCAGTTCTTGTCACTATCTTCAACTCAGCAAAAGGGAAAGACCCTGTTTGAGTTTCCCTTCCTTGTGCCCCAGTAGGGATGCTGCCTCAAGGCAAAAGGGTGAAATGACTTCCTCTACCAGGGATCCCAGGCCAGCATTGCCTGCTGGCTCTTATCTGAGAATAGATTTTTCATCTGTTTTGGTCCACTTTTCTGATAATTATGGCTGGAAAGTAAGTCCGGATCCTGTTACTTCATTCTGGCCAGAAATAGAAGTTCGGGTCCCAAATCAGATGTCTGCAGGGGCCTAGCAGCTAGAGAAAGTGACAGAAGAGGCCTGGTTGTAAAGCAATAGGGAGTACTGGGGACTCTGACAAACTGTAGCGCACGTGCTTTGTTTAAAGGGGGCACCTGCTTCAGCTGCAGCTGAGGTTGCAAGATGATAGAAGCAGCTCAGTGTTCTCAGTGTTGCCAGAGCATCTGGATTTTCAAAACAATAGGAATAGAGACTTTTTAGTCAAGTCTTCATATCTTTAATTACTGAAAACTAATAAAACCATTGTGTTGAACCTCTCCCCTTAGATGGTACAGAACATAAAAGTGTATGTGGACCCTAGATCAAGACTGTAGCACCACATCATATTTACTGAAAATTATTTTCACTTGATAGCTAATAGGCACATGGATGTTTCTTAGCTAGCAGCCCAACATCAGGTGAAAGCTGCCAGTGCAAATAACTGAATTATGTTAGAGTATGTACACTGATAGTGCAAAGTAAGAGTGCGAAAGTGACTTATTAATGACAGTGATTTAACAAGTAGAAGCTTATGACTTTTTAGCTGAATTTTCTGGCACTCACTTTAAAAAGTTTAAAGGAAAATAAATATATTTGGCAACCTCATTTTGAGGTAGTAATTATTTTTGTCCTCTAAGAGAGTTTTGTTGCATGTCTTTAGCACAGTGTCCAGATGTTCGTAAGTGCAGCAGTCCTGAGTGATCATCTGCTCTCAGGGGAACATTTCACAATCTAAGGTTCTAATGTCAATCAAAGTCTCTTCCTTGAAATTCTTTCTTCAGATGTGGCCAATGATATTTTTTTCATTTAATTACTTGTATGTAAAGCTTCAAAAGATTAAAATAATTTGTTTTTATCCACATCTGTTTTGTTAACTGAAAACCAAAAGTTGTGACTTAAATGTTTTTTTTTTTTCAGTTATTACTTTTGGATGTTGTAAAAAGTTTATTTGATTAGTACTGTGAATTGAAAAAAATGCGTAAACTAAAACATTTTAGATAGACTCGAAAGAAGTATAATGTAGACTCTTAAGCCCTAAAAGTTTTTTAGAACCCTTGAAGTTGATTTTACTTATATTGCTGATGAAGAAACTGGAACTCACAAAGAAGGCTAATGTTATTCCCTCCACTTTTAACTTTTTAATTTTCTGTATTGTAGGTAGAAAGCTTGCCTAGCAAGCACCAGGCTCTGAATTCCAACCCCAGTATTGCCAAAGAGAGAGAGAAACAGATACAAACAGACAGACACAGAGAAAGAGAGAGAGATAGAGAGACTATCTCAAAAAACAAACATATACACATACAGTCCTGTGGAACTGTAATTCCTATGCAGGGTTGGCAAGAACTTGAGCCTCTCCCTATCTGAAAAATAACTAAAGCAAAAAATGTTTATATGTATACATATATACACATATATATTTTTATATATGTATATTTACACACAGACACACACAATATGTAAACAAAAACTTAAGGAAATAATTTTTAAATTTTTTAAGAAGAATGTATATGCATATACTAAGAAAATTTAAAAATATATATATAAACTTTAAAATTTATATATATATAAAATTTAAAAATATATATATAAACATTCATACAAAGAAACAAAACCAAAACAGGAAGGAGGAGGAGGAGAAGGAGGAGAGAGGGGGGAGCAAGAGGAGGAGAAGGGCTACAGGTATGGCTCAAGTGGCAGAGCACTTGCCTGGCAAGTGCAAGGCCCTGAGTTCAAACCCCAGTCTGAGATATGTGTGTATGTGTGTGTGTATAAAATATGCTTTGTATAATAAAAGGTTTTAAGGAAAAAAATTTAAAGCTTTATATTTAAAAAATTAATATATATATATATATATATATGAGCAAGTGACCTTTTAAAAAAATGAATAAATTAAAAACGAAATGAAAGCCATCATAAGGAAGAAAAGTAAGCCCAAGACCCTGAGTTCAAACACCAGTATCTCAAAAAAAAAAAAAAAAAGAGTAAAAACACACACACAAGCACACAAAGAAACTGAAAAGGAAAGCAATCTTAGCCACAGTCACTTGTGTCTTAAAAAGTCCTATTGCCTCATTGAGATAACTGGTTGACCTATGTAAGGATCAGGTTTGAAAAAAAGCATTCTATTTTCTGGGTCATGGGTGAGGAGCTGGGGACTGGGGAGAGACAACTCATTTCATTTCTGGCCTTTGATTCCTTTTTTTATTATTGCCTTTGCATTTAAGTGGCAATTACTGAGCCCACAGCAGACATTCTGCACAGTAGTTTGTGTGGCTTTGCCAACAGCAGCACTTAACTTCACATTTCAGGAACAGTGCTGCAAAAAAAACGCACAGAGACCTTTGAAAGGGTCACCCTGTACCTGACATCTATGCTGAGAAGCTTGCATGGGGGCTGTGGGTAACCAGCTGGAGTTTCAGTGGATATAGGGGAGCCATTCTGCCTCCCTGAGTCTGGAGGAAATTTGTAATTTCTCATCATTCAGCCTATTCTTGTTCCGTGTTCTTCAGAGGTGAATCTATCTAGTGTGGTCAACCTGAGCCAATTTTACTCTCCAAGAGACATTTGCCTAAACATAGTACAATCTGCAGGATAGCCTCTCACAACAAAAAATGTTCCATCTGTGTGTCAGCTGTACTGAGGTTGACAAACCCTGGTCCAGTGCATGTTCATCCTCCATCTTGTAATGCATGTGGACAGGTGTTTATACTGGACACGTGAAATGGCTATGCAAGCAGTTCACATTCCTTTTGGGATTCATAAATGATTAGAAAGTTTCAGAAAAGTAAGTCAACAAATATTTTTCAAGTGCTCATTTGTACCAGACAGTGTTCTAAAGATTAAACCTGTAGCTTTGGACAGAAAGAATGGGAACTCTCTGCTCTTGAAGAACTTCCAATTTATTCCAAGGGACACACAAAAACTAAGATTAATGTTTAAGAAAATGAATGAGTCTGATGAAAAAATAAAACTCCAGAGAAATAAAGCCGAGAAAGCAGTGATGGAGTTGATGGTGGGGGAGTTTCCAGTTTTAAATAGCTTGATGGGGAAACCAATGAGATAGCACCTGCCAGCAAATAAGGCAAATTATTGTCAGGCAGTTCCAAATGTATCTTTTCACCCCTTTTCCATTTCAGAACAACAAAGTCAGGCGTTTTGCTTTTGAGCTCAAGATGCAAGACAAAAGTAGTTACCTTTTGGCAGCAGACAGTGAGGTAGAAATGGAAGAATGGATCACAGTTCTAAACAAGATTCTTCAGCTCAACTTTGAAGCTGCAATGCAAGAAAAGCGAAACGGAGACTCTCATGAAGGTAGGCATGCACACCTTGGGCCAACGACTCCACAGTGGGGATGTAGGAAGAGAAGTACTGCACAGGTAGGTGGGACAGACAGCCTGTGAGCAAGGATTGTGTCACATTAGAATTTGTGAAATCACAAACTGGAAAGAGTCACACGGAGGAAGCAGAGACAAAGACTTGGATGTGAGTCCTAACAGTACTACTTTTCAGCTGTGTGAACTTGGACAAACTAGTTAGGTTTTCTGAGCCTCATTTACTTGCCTATAAAGTGGAGATAATAATGAACTGGAAGAATGAATTTTAAAATGTAGCTCAAGTCCCTATCATAGACTCCACTCTTAAGATATTAGAGTTGTTATTATTACCATTCATAATATCTTTTGAAAATTTCAAGACAAAGTTAGGATGGGCAGGAGCTTCATATTAAATTGAAAAGTTTTGCAGTTTTTGGCAACTCATGTTATAGTTCAAGCCCTCAGGTGATTCTCATCCCCGGCTGACCCCCAGAAGTGGTTGGGAGTTTATAAGAAAAAGAAAAAAAAATTCCTGTTTCCTTGGTCCTGCAAAAGATTCTAATTGGGTTTGACTGAGTGGGGGGCTGATGCTCACAGCCAGCATCAGCTCCTTTTAGCTCAAATCTGACGCACTGTATGTTGACATTTCTGCCTCTTATCACTGGGCCTGGCTGTCAATTTTTCAAAGACCCCAGGTGTTTCTAATGTGCTTCCAGAGTTAAGAACCAAGGCATCCAGGGTACATGTAAAAGAAACAGTCTTCCTCCTGCTGCTTTAAATAAAATACTTTCAATTACACATAACTTGGGAAATTTGTTTTACCATTTTAGATGATGAACAAAGCAAACTGGAAGGCTCTGGCTCCAGTTTCGATAGCTACCTGCCTGAACTTGCCAAGGTAACTTTACGTTAAAGCTTTTGCTCTTCATTGAATGCTACTGAAATGTTTCTTGTTTTATGAGTTTACCTAGAATGAAATCTCTTAAAATAGTAAGTTATGTTGTGATTACCACTATTTTCTGATCTGAATATGAAGTGGTGTGAAATATATTGCTGACTGAATGGGACTTCAGTCAGTTTTCCAGAAAGCACCCTATAAAATATTCTTTTTTTAAAAAAAAGTTATTCTTTAAGTGTTTTCCCCCTCATAATATTTAATACTGCATTACATGTATTGAAGAAATAGCCAAAATTCCTAAGTGAGTGTTCTCAGTATAATCTGGCACTGTGTTTACAAAGAGTAACTCCCTCTTAGCAGCTTACTGCCATGATTCCAAAGAGAGCAGACGTGGTGATCTTGTCACTAGGCTAAGGCGGGTTACCTACCTTACAGAACTGGTTCCTAGTGCTTGCTTCAACAGCACATATACTGAAATTAGAGCTTTTTCCTGGGTTACTCTTAAAGAAAACAACAACGACAAAACAAAAAAAACAGGCTATTCCTGGTTTTACCATTTTGAGAAACTGAAAGGTACCAGAAAAGGACAAGGAAAGCAAAACAACCATATTGCTACATCTGCTGTTACATTGTCTTTTTAGCACCTGAATTTTTTTTTAAAAAGAAATCAGTGATTGTTAAAGTACTTTTTAAACACTGTCTTATTCCTGTTCTCTTCCTTACAATCCATCCAGAGACAGCCACTATTATAAATTTGACTTCCATTTCATTTTTATGTCTTTACAAATGCGTTTATTATAGTAATATGTGTGGTGTATGTTTGACAATGTTACATAAATGCTAACATACTATACATTTTATTCTCTCCTTGTTTTAGAAGAATGTTTAATTCAGCCTTTAGAGTCGTATTCTAGCTTAGGATATAGATCTGGTTCATCCCTTTTATTGCACCATATAAACATTTTCTTTTAGCTGTTCTATTATTTCCATTTTTTCTACTATGAACAATACTACAATGTATTCCTTGTACTTTTCTTCTTGTGTGTATCTATGAATGATTCTTTTTTAAAAGAGAGAAATGTCTTTGTCTTCTCTAGCCCTTTATATTCTTGCTCTGTTACTGCTTTTCAATTTTTTTTTATAATACAGTGAAATAGTGACCCTAAACACCCACATCTTAAACACTATAATAGGAACATGGTTTATCTATATAGGATTATAAACAGAGAAGCATTCATCATTGACCTTTATTTTGAGACAACATGGCTGTTGTCAAACAAAAATATCTTTTCCCGGGGTAGGACTTAGAGTGTTGTTTTTCTTTAGGACTTGACTGTTTCCACAGATCTTTTTAGCACCTGCCTATTAAAGCTAACTTTAGAGCCACCATTATAACCTCCTAGTCTGGGAAGCATCTTGGCTTATGTGTTTTTGTTTTTATGTTAGGATTTTTATTTTTATTTTTTTGTGCTGCTGGGGATCAAACCCAAGGCCTTTCCTAGTTTAACTAGGCAAGTGCTCTACCACTGAGCTACATCCCCTGCCTTGTCATGTTGGAAAACTCTGTGTATCATACTTTGCATTGAGATTTGCTTTTTTCTTTTTTGTCTGGATGTTTGGGGGTTCAAATTTTTCAAATCAAAATGTTTAAACCGAATTGGGTTTTAGTTTATTGAAGCAGATAATGTATATGATACAACCTAGAGTTCAGAAAGTAACTTTCTACACTAACTGTGTGAAAAGAATGGATACCTAAGAGAAATGGCATATTATTCGAGCCTAATTTTGATTAATTAGAAATCCATATTTTTCCTGTGAAGACACTGTCGGAGTTGTGCTCTCTTTTCTTCTCTCATTACCTGCCCAACATAATTCATTCAGTATTGCTTGATCCTCAGACCTAGAGAGATGTATATATTTTTACACACACATGTATACAAACACTGATGTTTTTATTTTTTAATTTAACATACTCAAAATTATTTTCAAACTGGGATTTAAAACCAAGTTAGCTGAAGCCATTTTATTTGGTAAAATCAATTTAATTGGTTTCAGTGCCCATTTTTTACTTTTCATCTTGTTTTAATTTCTGTCCTTTTTTTTATTGAATTGTAATTTATATAAATTATGTATACATATATATACACATTTATATATAATATATACATAAAGTATGTGTGTGTATGTTGCATTGTCATGTAAAACATATTTCTTACTTTGGGTCATGGTCAAAGCCTGACAAATGCAGCAGCATAAGGGTCTTTATTGTGTTTTTCCCTCAGCTCTCAGATGTTTCATAAATATTTTTATTTAAGAAGGTAGAAAAGGGCCTAAGGTAGTTTTTCAAAGGGAAAAACAATGAAGAAAATTAAGATGCGTTGTCATTTACCCAGCATGCTGCCACCAGGTTGTTGGAAGTGGATATCTGTTACCCGTGCCTCTTACTGACCTGATCAGTGGTGTGCAGTGTGTGGGCCCATGCTGGTCCCTTCACAGTCTATCTGGATCCCAGCTGTTTATCATCCCCCTGTAGTGCATCTAGAATGTGGGTTTTTGTGCCTGTTGAGAAAGCATAGGAATAGACTGATGACTGGTCATCCTGTTTTTGTGATCAATGGATTCCATGGTTGGAGACTCGGAGATTGAAGTGTGTATGGGGTAGGGTAGGGGCATGAGGGAAGAGAGAGGGGAAGCACACAGCTACGCATCCAGGAAGAGATTAGCCAGGGGAAGAAGAGATAAAGAGGTTAATACCAGGAAAGGAAAGTACAAGAAAGGGTCAAGTGGGAGGCTGGGCCACAGATAAGATTACAGAGAAAAGCCTAGAAGACAATGGGTGTTGGCAGAAGGCAATTGAAGGTGTAATTGAATGACCCTCCTCTCTCATCAGCTCCTCTTTCTGCTCTTTCTGCCTCACTCATCCTGTCGCCCCTGCTTTTGTTTTCCACTGTGACTGAGACACAGCCAAACAGGATATCATTGACAGGAAGTTATTTTAGTGCAAAAATAACTGATGTTTCAATATGGTGTGAGTAAAATGGAACTTAGGTTTTCAGGATATTTTGTGTGTTCTTGGAGCTTATGTTTTGTACATTTAGTACTGAACATCATTGTTGTTTTCCTATCAGGAGGCATGCTGTAGCTACTCTAAAACTTGTACTTTTCCTCCTATTGTCTAGTATGGAACCAAACAATTTTGTTGTGAGTATAACAAGATATATAGCACCAGTCTTATAAACAGTCTGTATACATGGGTTAGTTAAATTGATCTCGTTTAGAAAGTCAGGGAGTATGTTTATTACAGTGCTATTCACAATAGCCAAGCTATGGAAATAGCCAAGATGCCCCACTACTAATGAATGGATTAAGAAAATGTGGTATTTGTCCACAATGGAATTTTACTCAGCCATGAAGAAGAATGAAATCTTATCATTCACAAGTAAATGGATGGAACTGGAGAACTTCTGAGTGAAGTTAGCCAGGCTCAGAAGACCAAAAATTATATGTTCTCCCTCGTATGCGGACTTTAGACCTAAAACAAATGCAGTAATATTATTAGACATGGGTCACACGCTAAGGGGAGAACACATACAAGAGAAATACAGAAAGGTAGGAAACCCAAAACTTGAAAGTGTTTGATGTGCCCACTGCAGAGGGGCTAATATAGTAATCTTAAACTGACAGAGGTCAATATGGGAGGGTGACTGGGAAGTAGTCAAGAGGTCGGGCAGAGATGAATCAATTCAGGTTGTAATACACTTGTGCATGGAAGCAATGCTAGGAATCTCTCTGTTTAGCTATCCTTATGTCAACTACCAAAAATGCTTTGTCTTTCTTATTATTGCTTATGTCTTCTCTTCAACAAAATTGGAGAAAAGGGCAGAACAGGTTCTGCCTGGAAGCTGGGGGGAGAGGGAGGGGGTGAGGAGCAGGGGGGAGAAATGGCCCAAACAATGTATGCACATATGAATAAATGAATAAAAAATAAATTAAAAAAACAGTTTTAAAAAAGAAGCAATGCTGAAAACAAAAACAAGTCAGGGAGTAACATGATCAGGTTACAGACCTGGTTACACTTATATTAAGTCACACTGGAACATATATGAATGTAGTATGAAGAAACCCTCATGGTCCCCCTCCCATCTCTTCCATTTTGGAACTTTGTTTCTGTACACAAAGAACAGTGGCTCACTCTTAATTTAGTCTCCGCATGTGGTTCTGAAAAAGAGACAGTTTCATGTTACTCCAAAATTGCTCATATCCTATTTCCTTACCAACTTTTTGAGTGTATGAACTTATCTCTCTAGGTAAACCTTCCATGATTGAATACAGGACAAAGCATGATGTCTCAATCTTTATAGTGTCATTGAGTTTGAGTAAAGGTTACAGACCAAGCAACAGAACTCTTTAGAACCAAAACGGTCTCACAGACATCTTTCCTGATTTTTAAAATCAAATCTTTAATAAATACTTCCTTCTGCATGCCCCAATCCAGAAATTGATGTCATTGTATTATAATACAAAGGAATTGACAGTGGTTGTATTTGTGAGATCAACTGAAGTTCCATTTCTGGGCCTCCTTGTTCTATAATGCTGTATCTTAGCTTTGTGACATGAGAGGTAATGGTCCTATTAAGTTGGATACTTTAGAAATTGTGGAAATGTATTATGATAGCCCTTTAAATTTAAAAGAATGTTTTCCAACCTCAAAATATTTTGCAAGTCTTCCTATTCCAATTCATTCTATTTAAATGATCCAACAGTCAAACAATATTTTTCTGATATCTCACCCTCAGAATAAGATGCTGTTTTGCCAGTCTTTGATTTTTATTGTTTTATCTGCTCACAAATAAACTTAAGACAGAGTATGCTCTTTCTGGAAACTCTTCAATGTTTGTCCCATAACTACTTAAGACAAAGAAGAAAACATGGTTAGGTGTGTCATTTAGAGTTTACAAGATGGGGCAAGGGAATAGTCTGTTTTAGTCCAGTCATTTTCTTCTTTGACATCTAGGCAAGTTCTAGTTTCTACATAGATTAGCTCTGCCATTGTCTGTTTTCCTGTCCATTCCGCTCTCATTCTCCTTTTCTCTCCCATGAACCCAAAATAGAAAATGGCTATGGACAGGATGGTGGCAGCAATATGTTTGAGGACAACTTAGTCAGTTCTTTCTATAACCACAATATGGATTGGAGCACGGGCTATTTTAAGAATTGAGCTGGTTTTTGTCACTTTATAGAGTTCTCAAATACAACTATTTAATTTATTGTCTTATTAAAATTTTAATTAAAATTACCTTCAAAAGTAATTTTTAAAGTATGCTTGCTATAAGTGAAATTCCCTAGCACTGTATAAAGAAAAGTGCATCTTTTTCCTTCATCCTCCATTCTCACATCGCTGAGAACACTTGTGATTCTGTTTTCACCCAACCGATTGCTCACAGAATTCGTACACACATATGTAGGGGTTTTTAGTTATATTCTAAAATTTTGTTTGTGATTTATGCATTATTTTGAAAATTGTTCTGTCACTTAAAAATATTTCATAAGGTCCTCTGTGGGTCAGTAGAGGATCTAGTTTACTCATTTGCATAGCAAGTTTGCAGTCATAAAGTCAGCTGCATAATATTTCAGCTGTGGATATTGAATAATTAATTCAGCCTTATCTCTGTTAATCAACATTTGGATTGTTTTCTGTTTTCAGACTTCACAAATTGCACAGTAAACATAATGATATTAAATACCTATACTCTTATTTTACTAGGAGAATTGTCCCAAACTGGGATTTCTGGGTAAAAGGTTATTTTGTTTCAAGTGCTTTAAATATTTCCCAAAAGGTTATTGCGATTCACATTCCTGTTTCTCTGCATTGCTGTCAGAGTGAAAAATGATATTTTATTGTGCTTTAATTTATGTTTTGCTGCTTAGTAGTGACATTTTCCTTATTTTCATATATTTATTACCCTTTGAGTTTCTTCTTTCTCTCTAATCTTCCTATTTATTTTCTTCTTTCTAGTTTTTTTTTTTCTTTTACCTTGTGTGATAGATAGTGAAAGGTCGTGTGTGCTCTGAAGCTGGACAGCCTAGGTCAGAGCCCAAGCTTTGATTTACTGTTGTGAGACTTTAGTCAGAGCACTTCACCCCCAAGCCTTAGTGTCTTTTAATGAGCTGATAACAGTAACTGCCCTTGTAGGCTCTATCAGTTGTATCTGAGTTTGTGTTTGGTTGGTTGGTTGGTTTTTGTGGTGCTGGGAATTGAAGTCAGATTCTCATGCATTTTGGGCAAGTGTTCTACCACTGAGCTACACCCCAGCCCTAGGTAGTATAAATTTCAAATGGGCATTAATGTTGACATCTGACATATAGATGTTAGCTATAATCAGTAAGTATCAGCTTCCATCATCACTGTTACTTCAGATGCTTATTACCATCTGGCCACTGTGAAGTTCTACCCTTGCTGAGTCATGTGTTCTGTCCTCCTGTGTCTTACTTAGCAGTTTCCTTAGTAACTATCTGCTGGGCTTTCTCTCTGTTTGGTGCACCATCCCAAGCCTTGGGAAGGATCAGAGGAATTTTAAGAAGCTGAATTTGCCTTTTATCTACCTCTAAATTATAGTTTTTAGACTGTTGCATCCAAATTTGTCCCTTCTTTCCCATTAGAGAATCTCTGTGTGAAGAATATATTCATTGGTATTAGCAGCAATCTCAGGATGTTTTGTAGACACATTTTGGCTATCAGTTGCTTTGCTTGTTTTTAGTATGTCTAATTCCCTGTTTGTTCTCTAATTAAATGGCGCTCATAGCAGTTTTTCTTGCTGTACTAATTTCTCATCTCCCAGCATGGTCAACATGAGACAACAGGTGTCTTTCAGAAAAGGCACCAGGACTTGTGTCTATATTAAGAGCCCATTGCTTTACAGTAGTTTCTGAGATCACAGTGTTTGCCTTTGTTGAAGTACTCAACAGCTGATTCAGAAGTACCATACATTACTGTTGGTGGTGGCTTATCACACCTAGGGCTGACAGTTTGTTAGGAAATATCACAGGCAGTATGCAGTGTACAGCACACTCTGAGTTTAGTTAAATCCATTCCTCTTGTGTATATTCTATCTCTTTTGATGTGAAAAATTAGGAAAAGCGATCAGCAACATGGAGTGAATTGAAGTGATCTCACCTTCCATATGGCGAGAGCCTTCCTCAACTAGGCACATAATTTACCCCGAAAACGTGAATGACATTTGTGGGAATGCCCCTTCACCACTAGAAGCCTTTGCTCTCATAGATAGCATCAAGATGAACTTTGTTGCTGTGCGCTGATGGCTCATACCTGTAGTCCTAGCTACTTGGAATGCTGTGATCGGGAGGATCAAGCTCAAGGCAAGCCTGGAAAAATAGTTTGTGAGACTCCATCTCCAAAATAACCAGAGCAAAATGCTGGAGGTGTGGTTCAAGCAGTGGGATGCCTGCTTTATAAGCATCAAGCCCTGAATTCAAACCCCAGTCCCACCCCACCCCCCCCAAAAAAAAACCTTGTTGGAGCAAGAGACTTTGCCATCATCTTGTTCAACATTTTCACTCAGAAATGAAAATGAAGTCTAGGGAGGCTAAGTAGCTTGCACAGGTAGTTAACAGCTAAACTAACCTACAGATACAACAAGATACCTTCTCCACTACGGCTGTCAATGCCCTCATTGTCAGGCGCTAAGATGTGACTCTTACCTTTGGGGGAGGTACCAAATAAGACTGAACATCTTACTCTGACTCCATAAACTTAACTGTGGGGTTTGAGAGTATAGCAGAGAATTCTGACTACCAAGAAGAATAAGCTATGGATTTAGAGGGACCAACCATGATAAATAATGAGAATAGAGATTACTTGTATTTGTGAATATTTTAGAAGCCTCTTTTTTTCCACAAATCCCATACTTCCTCCTCCAACTTAGCCACTCTGCGTCACTTGCTTGCTGTGGTTTCCCTCCTGTCCGTCCCTTCAGTGTTGGAGTGCCTAGGATTCAGCCCTGAGACTTATCTCCACATTCTCCCCCAGGGAACCTCCACCACCCCCCGGACTTCTATTCCCACCTGCATGCTGATGTTCTCCAGCCTTCCTTTCTGTCTTGTGCTTCTCCTCATGCCTCTTGCTGTCTGCTGGATGTTTCCAGTTGGAAATTCCACAGGCATCTCCACACTCCACTTTGTTTAGCATCTTTTCCACAGACTTGCTCTTTTTTTCTTAAATTCTCTATTTCAGTTAATAGAGTCACCAATCAGCAGGCTACCCAAGATGGAAATGTGAGATGTTTTTATGGCCCCTGTTGTGAGACTGGGAATGTGGTCACAACTCAAGAAAGATACCACGACCTCCTAGTCTTACTGTGTTTAATTCATTGTTTCAACCCTCCAACGTGATGCTCCTATATAATACAGGTGTCATTATGTTATTTCTTCTTTAACTGTTGCAGGATATTTTGCGTTCTGTGTCCTTAGCATACAAGTCTCTTTACTTTTTCCCACCATGCCCAACCATTCAGTTGTAGTGAATGACTTGATCATTGCTTATTTGTAGTTTGTCCCTTTGCACACACAGTGGCCCCCCCCCCCCGCAGAATGTGCTAGTCCTTCAAGATGGGCTTTCCTCTGAGTGGTCTTTCCTGACTACCATCCTCTAGGCCAGGAAAGCTTCCACTTACTTTAAGCTTTCTTTTGTCATTCTTACTCCGTTTACCCAGTGTGTCCCCAGGGTAGGAATTTGCTCATCTATGTTCCTTTCTCCAGTGCCTGGCCCATGGTGAGTGCTCAGTGAGTGTTTATTGAATGAATTAGCATCTTGTTCAAGATCTGTAGCAGTTATCTCTCCCCCACCATTCAAAATGTATTCCCTCCTCTTCCCCTCTTTATATCCTCCCTTTTAAACTGGACCCTACTCAAACTTCCTGCTATGAGAAGGGCTCATTTCCATACTCAGGGTCTGTCTTTCTGTGCATCCTTTCTAGTCAGGCTGGAATGTTCCCATTTTCCTCCTGGCTAAATTCTGTCCCTTTGTTCAAGACCTGTCCCATATTTCATTACTCTATAAAACATCTTTAACAGTTTGATGCTTAATTATTCTTTTTTGCTTTCTATGGATTGTTTTTGACTTTACAAGTTGTTATCAGTTTTATAAGGACAGGGCATTTACATTGTATGCTGCATATTCCACAGTCTATACCTGTTTGCTGACCTACACCTGCCTCTCAAAGATGAGACAGGATTGTCTAACAGGATGGGTCTTCAGGATGGAGCATATCTCAAACATATTTGAGTACCTCTGTTTAAAAAAAAAAAAAAGGAATTTTGTCAAATGTAATTTATATTTATCTTGTTATCAGAGTGCCAGAGAAGCAGAAATCAAACTGAAAAGTGAAAGCAGAGTTAAACTTTTTTATTTGGACCCAGATGCCCAGGTAAGATGCATTGATGGGGAGGAAAAAATATTTGGTTCTTGTTTATTTATTTGCCTTATTTGTTTTGGATTGTCAAGTAGGTATAACAGTACAGAAAATTTGGGGAAAAGAAGAAAAATAAAAACTATGTTCTCACCACCATAGCATAACTACTGTGAATATTCAACCTTTGGTACATTATTGAATATTGAGAGAGATTTACCCATGAGCATTCTCAAATCCACAGGATCATCTGATTTACCTGTTACAATTACCACTAGAAATAGCAAGTATCACTGCCAACACCCAGGAGGCAGTGAGAGTGCCCAACTAGGCCAGGCTCAGTCCTAGATACAAACCTGTCAGTGCGTGCAGCCCACATCCATGGCCCAGCGAAGTCCAAACTCAATGTGGCAAGTGCCCTTAAGGCCTCCCACGACAGCAGGCACCTCACTGCTGCTTGAAAGGAACGCAGGTTTTGGTGTGTCTCATCCCAAACATTTTCTCTCTTTGTCTGTGTTCCTTTTTGTAGAACTTCTTTTCTCATTTGACTTTAATGATAAGTGCTTTTCTATGTTTCTTTCACAGAGCCCGCAACCATGTACACATGTAGGTGTGCACACGTGTGCGTGTGTGTGT